GGGTTTGAGGTAGGGGTGATATGTCATAACCAGCAGTGTGCGATTCATGGGGGGGTTTCTTCTGTACTGCAGCAATTCTTCACGTGGTATCCAGGTGGCTCTTTCAAATGTGCAATCTATTGCTCTGGAGGAGTGTCCTTGTTGGGTGAAAGCCTTTCTAAGATTGGTGAGGTGGCAATCCCAGGTGTTCTCCTCAGTGTAAATTTGGTGGTATCTGAAGGCTTGGCTGTATATCACAGCTTTCTTGGTGTGTTTAGGGTGATTGCTGTTTCTGTTCAGATATGTATGTAGATCATAGCTTGTGTAGTCTGAAATCTAGTGAAATACAGGCTGTAAACAAACTGTCTTCTCTACTGTTCTGCGCAGGAATGTGAGGTACCTTAAATACTAGCAAGATGGTAGTAAAACATACTCATGTGTTTCTACTTTAGTAAAACTTGAATACAACTCTTGCAGTTGACTAAAAGTTCTGGGAATGCAGACTCTGCTCAGCTTTCTCTTGCTATTGCTTTGCCCTGGCAATAGAAAACAGGGCTGCCTAACCAAAGTGGAGTCAAATACAAAATGAAAAATAATCCAACAATATCTCCAAAAGACACATTCATAAAAAATGTCTGCTAACAACCAAAGGAAAAAATGTCTGCTAACAACCAAAGCTGCAAATACATGCAATTCTCCTGCAATTCCCATATTTCTCACAAGCTGGACTAGAACATGAGACTGTTTAATGCTTGTATTTCAATTGAATAAACTGGGCAAGCCCCTGCATGGTGGGGAATGTCACACACTGTCCAGAATGCAGGCAGGCAGAGAACATGCTTCCAGGATAATTCCAAGAGTCTCAGCCCCCAATCAATTTTTCTCCCCAACCTAGAAATGCAAATGATTCCAGGTGTGGAGCCTGGAACAGTTGAACAAAAAGGAGAATCATTTCCACTGAACTCAGTGGCTTTGGATTTGGCCCATGCATAGTTTCATAGTTGGTAGGTTTAGAAGGGACCTGAGCAGATCATCAAGTCCGACCCCCTGCCATGAGCAGGAAAGAGTACTGGGGTCAAACGACCCTGGCTAGGTGTCTACCTGGCCTCATTTTGAAGACCTCCAGGGTAAGAGTGAGCACCACTTCCCTTGGAAGTTGGTTCCAGATCCTAGCTGCCCTGACAGTGAAGTAGCGCATCCTGATATCTAGCCTGAATCTACTCTCCATCAACTTATGGCTGTTACTCCTTGTTACTCCCAGTAATGCTCAGGGGAACAGGGACTCTCCCACTGCCTGCTGGCAAATTTATAGATAGCCATCAGGTCCCCCCTCAGCCTTCTGTTGTGGAGGCTAAACAGGTTCAGGTCCCGTAGTCTCTCCTTGTAGGGCCTGCCCTGCTGACCCCTGATCATGTGAGTGACCCTCCCCTGGACCCTCTTGATGTTGTCCACATCCCTCTTGAAGTGCAGCGCCCAGAACTGGACACAGTACTCCAGCTGTAGCCTGACCAATGTCATATAGAGGGGGAGGATCACCTCCTTGGACCTGCTTGAGATGCATCTGTGGATGCATGACAAGGTGCGGTTGGCCTTCCTGACTGTGTACCCACATTGTCGGCCCATGTTCATCTTGGAGTCAATAATGACTCCAAGATCCTTTTCTGCCTCTGTGCGGACAAGAAGGGAGTTCCCCAGCCTGTAGGCATGCTGCTGGTTCTTCCTCCCTAGGTGCAGTACCCTGCACTTGTCAGTATTGAATGCCAAGAATTTCTCCCTGTTACTTCACTCACCTCAAGTCAACCCAGCTGGGACTCGAACTCAGATCTCCCTTGTGGTAAACAGAAATGCTACCACACAGCCACCAGTACTAGTAAAAAATATAAAATCTGGGAAGCTTCCTTAACATGAAACAACAGAGTAAACGCAGTGAGATGCCAGCTCAGACTGGGATGTTATGAAAAGCAAAGGATTTTTATGAAATAAAGGATTTTTATTCCACATGAGAGCCAGTTATAGCAAAAAAATAGACAGGAAAAGACATAGTTCCCAGGACTGTTTATGCATCTCATATTAGACAGAAATTACCCTGGCTGAAGGGCCCAGGACCCAGGTCTTTTCCCCTCCCACGGGAATTCCATCTTCACTGGGCTTATGGGCTAACGACAAACATTCAAAAAAACAGAGTCTGAATTGATTCAATCTTTGCAGGTTAGTCTAACCTGGCTAGGAAAAACCAGTTTGTAACTGTACATACATCCCCCCTGAACTAAAAAAAATGCAGGCACATGCCTGCCGTGGCTCAGGCTAGAAGCCTGGGGGGTGCTAGAGCAGACCTCCCTTCCCTTCCATAGTGCTGAACTGAGGGTCACATGGCCAGACCCTGGCAGGCTGCTCTGATTAGGGAGGGGTTCCCCCCACCCTCCTAACCTTACCAGCAAGGAATTGATAACACAGCATTTATCACCCAATTAAGAAAGCAACAGAGGGGCATTACCAGCCACCTGTTGATTCTGCCTTTGTCCCATCTGCCACTGCAGGGACCATAGCCAGCTTGTGGTTTGCTAGCTAATGCTGTGTGTCTGTGTAAGGCAGAGGGGACACTGGAATCCCTACTTAGCAGGGAGTGGGGAGGGGGTGGGAAGCAGGGGGGAGCCAGGCAGATGCCTGCAGTCTCTGCTGGAGCTCCAGCAAGGGAGCAGAGGGGAGGGGCTAGCTCTGATGTGGAGCAGAGAGCCCCGCCCAGCCCAGACAGCATGCCGAGATGCTGGGGGAGCCTGTTTTAACTTAAACCAGGAAGGGGTTTGAGACAGACATTTCATAAACCAGTTTGACCCAAATCAGTTAAGTCTCATACTACATTCAATCAGGTTTCTCTCACACTGGTTTCAGCCATTTTCAAACTGGTTTATGTGTACTGAACATCAGTTCTGTTACAGGTTTAAACCAATTTCTGATCACTTAAACCAGTTTATGCATAAACTGCATAACCAGTTTATGCATGTCTGTCCCTAGTCATGGGGTCATTCTTCCTCTTGCTTTCTCTCCTTCAGTGCTCGTGAATCCTGCACCCTCAGTTTCAACAGGAGAGACGGTATATGCCCACAACTAAACTGTTCTACAGGCTAATGGTTGGGGCACTATCCTCAGAAGTGCCAGATGTGGGTTTGAGCGCTCCCAGGTTGAAGAAGGCATAGAGTTCAGGTTCCTACTTCTTGGGCATGTGCTCAAACCAATAAGCTATTGGGCAACAAATGTAAGGTGCTGTGCTTTGTACTGAACTCCATGCTCTCTGTATCAGTCGTGCACTAGGTGTGATATACAAGCACCTAACACAACCTTTTGGGAGTCAACCTTTTTGTCAGGCATGCCACAAATTAGCCTTGCGCCCTCCTCAAGTGCCACTCCAATCCCCTTCCCCTGCCCAATATGCTGTTCTGCTTTCTGCCCCCTGCCCTCTCTGCCACTGTGCTGTCTGTTCCCTCCCCAGTCTGCCATGTGCCACACACAGAAGCTGCCCATGCCACTTGTGCCTGCATGCCATGGGTTGACCTAAAAGACCATGGACTGAGGCAAAAAGTAGATGCTTCCTAGCACTAGTCTGTCTTACAGCAAAGCATAGGCAGGCGTGCTTGATTTTGAATCTCATCAAAGCATGTTCAGTAGCCCATTTTGGGTGCTTAGGTTCAGGCCAAGATGAAGACACCTACTGATTCTACTCACCTAAGTGGTTGCATGGCCACTACAGTGGAGTCGATCTGGATTGCTTGTTGTGAGTTAGATCCCTACATTCTGCCTAAGTCCTATTTTAGACCCCTACGAGAGGACTTTGATGCTGGCTCTAACCAAGTTTTTAACTCAGGGTACAGAAGTCTGAGACAGAATCAGGAAATGAATTGAAGTCTTTTATGTATTTGTCCTGTGCTTTAGCCATAAGCCTATCCTACTTCCTTCCCCTTTGTGTACCAGCATGCAGAATACTGCTCTCCTTGTGTTACTGTCTGACATTGCATGGCAGGCTGCCTGATTCTGAAAGGATCTGTTCAAAGCAGTTTGTACTCTGTTGTTAAGGGTGACTTGCCTGCATGGGGGGAAGATCCTGGAGAGAGATGCATCTGTTACAGAGCTCTGGAGGCCAGAAGTCAATTAAAACATTTGCATTTTGGCACCATCCTTGTTATAGCTTCCCTAGGGCTCTTGCCAATAAGCCTGGATCTGCATTTTTAACAATGTCTCTTTGTTTTGTTGAGTTGGAAGCCCTTCCAAGCAAACACAAGCAGGCTGGCGGGGCAAGTCCATCACATTCTAAGATGTCAAATGAAGAAACTACAAATCTTAGCGCCCTTAAAAGTGCCACTAAATGCAACTCTAGTTCCCAGGGTTTTTCATCCTCTGCTTTGCTAGTTTCAAAAGCTTTTATAGCTAAAATCCTTCTGGATGTAGGCTATCGAAGTTACACAGAGCACCCTCATGTGAGGATGCTTTAGTACATAGGGGAAAATTTAGGCACCTGGCTGAAGCAGTGCCTTCAGCTGAAGTAGATGTACCCCTAAGCCCAAAAGTTGTAGATGTGCCTGAAAGCTTGCAAAGAACAATTTTTCCAACTATTTAGTTGGTCTAAAGAAAGAAATCACATCTACCCAAAGAACTGTGTCTGTAGATGCTCTGCATTTTTGCTGCATGACCACACCAGCAAAGAGCCTCACTGGGAAGCAGGTTGCATCTGCTCCACATGTTCTATACTTGTCATGTAGCTGCTCATAGCATGGTACTGGGCATATGCATTGACTCCCTGTTCAGGGTGTACATATGTGTGCACACTTGTTGCCCATCAGCGGCCTGAAACCAGTCAAGGAACTGATATAACAAAAGCTACTGATATTACCTCTTACAAATGGGACTGCCCCCAAGAAACACCCCATCATCCAAGAGATGGTCTCTTCCGCACAGCAACCCAGGATGGCTGCTAATGCCACCGGGAGCAGCATGGCACAGCCAGCCCCTGTCACCACAGTGCAGATCTGCCAAGACAAGCTGGGAATGGCATCAAAACTGGCATACCGCCCACGCTCTTCCATCATCACCAGGCTCCTCTCATGTATCTGGGCAGGGTATGTGCACCAGCGGAAGAGGCCAAATGGAACTGGCTTCCCCAGCTGGGAACCAAGAAGCCAGTCGGGCATAAAGTAACTGGCTGAGCTGGCAACTGCTGTGAGAACGAAGAGGAAAGCCCAGAGCACCCCAACCAATGTCAGACTACTGCCGGTCTTCTCAGGTGACGGCAGGGGCAGCCGGCTTGGTCTCTACAGACCTTAAAGGCAAGGGAGGAAGTCACTGCAGGGACCCACCCTGAGAGAACAGTAATGCTGTGTCTGATTCATCCCCCTGCTTCCAGGGGGCAACAGCTTTCCAAAGGTAACGTGATCCTTTCTTTTTCTCCAGAGTCTTATAAATATTACTGCTGGAGGTAGCAAACCATGACAGGACTGCAGCACCCTTCTTATTTCATTACACTGTGTTAGTCCTTGTCTGAATGTTGCTCAATCTGTGCTTGCATCTGTTAAATGATACCAAAAGAAGATCAAGAGAGATTGGTTTCATATTTGTTCAAGCTGCTAGAAGTTATGTCTTTGCTGTGTCACTAGCTGTTGACCTTGTAAGAGGCTCTGACCATGTTAGTGAGTAGTCTGATGGAAGCACAATGCTCAGCTGCAATCTCTGAAAGAGAAAAGTTGCCCAATAAGTGAAGTGTTTGATCAGCTTCACAAAGTAGATTAAACATGTCATTGGTCCAAAGAAATTCTGAGTATGTAATGTTACTTAAAGGTCCATCATTAATGCAATTGTGATATGGCCAACAGTGGGTCTGGCCTTGCCTTTGCAGACATAAAAATTGAATTTAAAAGTAAATTAAGGTATTACAAATGGAAGAGGTTATCAAAAAAGAACCATTTACTTTATTGCTCTAGTTCAGTGGTGCTCAACCTCCTGCCCTTCACTGCTCCTCTGCTGTCAAATTTCCAGACCTATAAGCAGCCCATGGGATGGATTGAACAGCCCCACAGCCAGGTCCAGGGCATTGGGCTGGGCTAACATGCCCATGGACTGACCTTACATGCTGACTCCACGCTGGATCCAGCCCATGAACTGACTCTACCCATGGGATCCACCCCATGCCACTCATCTGGCCCCCAGCCCCATAAGTTTGAGCACCACTGCTTTAGTTTGTTCCCCTCAAGCACATGATGGTTTGAGCACAGGCAGTGGTCACCATTTCCCCTGTGTAGTTCGACACTTTCTGTCCTGCTGTAAAGATCCCTCAAAACCTCCATGGGATGTAGAGAACTCCTTATAAAGTCAACTGAAAAATTATGAATAATTTATTAGAAATCAGATAATATGATTGAAAAAGGCTTCCCTCAGACCTAGGGCTATTTTTCATATGAGTCAGTGTCACAGTATGGACCGTGCTTCTTTAACTAACGTGGGACTTTACAATGCTTATATGGCTCCCAATAACAAGTCTGAGACATCGGTATCTTCAACCCCACAGAGAGGTAGGGAAGTGCTACGGCCCCCCAGGTTACAGAAGGAACTGCAGCACTAAGAGTATGTCTATACCTCATCCTCAGTGCATCCCAGGACAGATGCTCCTGACTTTGTCCTCTCCACCCATTTCCACTCACATGCTCTAAACCTGGAAACATGTCAGTGAAACCACTCAAGGGGCATCTCCACCATGGCTACTCTTGAGATCACTGTGTCTGACAGACTAGAGAGTTACTTCCCTAAAGCAGGAGCCAACAAGCAGGGCACACACGGGAACATCCCTGCAGGGACGTGGCAAGGACACAGTATAGACAAGAGACTTCCCCATGGTTACACAGGAAGTCTGCGGCAGAACAATGAACTGAACCCAAGTCTCTGGAGCTCCCAACCAGCATCCTAACCACTGGACCATCCTCCCTGGCCTACCAGTCCTAGTTGTGCGCCAGTTCCAGAAAGCATCTAGTCTCCCATTTCTTTCATCTGAGCTCCATGACTGCTGAGTGCATAATTAAAGACAGAGAACCCTTTGAGGACATTTTCAAAATGACAGCTATGCTTTAAGAAAAGGATTGCAAACCATTACAAGCAGATGTTCAAGGCGTTTGATTTATGAAACTTTTTGAGATGTTGGGGGTTTTAATTAAAAATCCCATACAACAGGCGCTGTCACTTCTGCTGCTCCTCCCCCCTGACAGTTCTGCTTTGGTTGTAAATATTTCATCAATTACCCGTGGGAAGAGGAAGGGGGATGCCAGCATTTTAGTCTGGTGTAGGGTGCTTTTATTTTAATAAAAATATTTAAATTGAGATCTGGAGGAAGTGAACTCAAAACAAGAAGCCAAAGCAAGCCGGTGATGCTTTTTCAGAATCCATTCTCTGTATCACTAATAAGTAGGACAGACCTTTCAAACTCATCTTTCGTCCTTCCAAATTATAATGCATACGGGCAAATTTTGGAATGGTCTCTCCATTGCTTCTGTAATTAAATACTATTAAAAACTAATTAAATGCTATTTTAAAAAACAGATTAAAAAAGCAACTCCCCAACTGGAGCAACAAGGTCAGTGAATGCATTTTAATAAGTTTACCTTGTGGGGTCTGGTAGACTCTGGTTGGTCTCTAGGTACTTTTTCTTCATTACAGTTGAGCAGTGGTTTTCAACCTGTAGTCCACAGCCCCTGGTAGGGCTGCAGACTATGTTTACAGGGTCCATAAAAGATGACTATGATCAACCAAATATATGTGAATACCCACACTTACAATTCAAAAGGACACATCCACTTGAAATTTCCAAAGGGGTCCACACTGCCAATCAAAAATTTTTAGGGGTCTGTAAATGAAAAAAGTTTGAAAAACACCACAGTAAAGAATCTCCTCTTCCCTAAGGGTGAGCAAATTACCTCTATACAATGTCCATGTGATCAATAGGCAACTTAAATCATCTGATATGCTTTCTTTTGGAACCAAATTCTGTCCCTCACATGGTGCAGCTATAAATGGCAGAGGAGAGTGAATGACCAAGGATAAGACGGAGAAAATATTTACACTGGTGAAACTGAGATAGCAGCAGACAGATGATACCAATCCCTGAAGGCAGGGTAGATATGCACCTTTACAGACTAACTAAATAGGATACAGAGAGAGAGAGCAGAAGCTTTTGTGAACCAAGTTCACTTCACCAGATGCTGTGAGACCCCTGAGCCAGAGCAGCTTTGCCCAATCCAGTGGAGAATCACCCCTAATATGAAAAGCTCCACAAGTGTAAATTAGACTGCTTTGGCTTCCTCCTCCACTCCGGATAGCCATGTGTTAAAGACAGTGGGCTTTTATGTGCTCTTCCTCTGCCCAGTCGCGAGGCACAGGAACAGCCACTTATTATAGGGGCCACCCTGAGATACCATCACATCTGTCTGATCTTGATCCTGACTTAACTTCCATTGATGGAAAAACACAGTGAAAATTACACCAGGTAAGTTTCTGTCTGTCTGAGATGAGACAGTCAGTAGTAGACTAGGGATATTCACTTTGTGAATTAAATAGTGGAACTAAATAGTGTGAATTAAACAGACAACAGCAAAACTTCAATGAATCCCACATGTCACCCTTAAAGTCTATGCCCTGAACTGGACCTTTAATTCAGACTCCAGCAGTCTGGGGAGAAACATTTAACCTCAACATGTAAACCTCAAAGCTCAAGCCAGCCCAGCCCAGACTGCCAGGTCGAATCCAGAGCCAGCTTAACATGGAGAAATGACCAGCTCGGGTCCAAAGTCTGAGACAGAGCTGCATATCAACACTTCCCAGGCTTCTCTTCCTGTGTTAACCCCCTTGTTGCGGGGCGCCCCTAACAGCTAGCAGTCTCCACACCAAGATGTGCACACTTCTGAGGGAAACACGGTGAGGGAAGTGATTTGAGGGAGGGTCTGCAAATCTGAACAGTGCTTCAGGAGTCCAATCTTAACAGGCAGACAAGTCACTACTGTTGCTCTCCAGCTCTGTTCACACTAGAATTACTGGGCTTTGCAGCTGTGACTATGATTGTCAAGTCATGAACCCCAAGCTGTTTTCTATGCTAATATGATTGTGTTTTTCCATAGGCACGGCTTTATTGCCTGTTCCCCTCGTTTGGGCCTCTGCAAATGTGGAGCTCTCCAAATCTAGTTATGGGTGCTTGTTCTGCTCCCAGTACTTCACATTTATTTGCACGTGTGGTGTCCTGTCTGCATTCATCCATCATGCATCTACTTGGTTCTGCATTCTGGTTTTCAAGAGCTATTTTACCAGCATCCTGTTTGCTACTGCCTCAAGCTAGATTTGCTGCTGGTAAAACAGACTCGAACCACCCCACCTAGTGACAGCATCGAAGGATAGTGTTTCAGGTCCAAGTCCAACAGGAGAAATAAGCTGCCTTACCAATAAGCTCCTCTTGACTTCTGCTTTCCATAATCTGGATGCGAGACTATAGACGTTGTGTAGGGAATCCAAAATCAGCCAAGTGCAGGTGAGTTACCTCTCTGAGGCTTGCACAATGCCTTTCCAGATCTGACTTCAGGGAACATGATGACTTGGTCTGTGTGAATAACAGATGTTTATATTTCCTGGCCAAACCAAACTATTGAAATTAAATTTGCTTCAGGTCATCCTGAAATGTTTTTTGTTTCCTCAGTGTAAAAAAAGAAGAAGAAAGAATGAATGAATGAATTTCATTTGGGTTAATGCCAAGTATTTCATTTCATTTGGGGGATTTTTAACCTCTTTCTCCACCTTCGTTTTTACTATATTTTGGCCGACTTTATTTCAAAACTGCACACTAGAAAATCTCATTGTGAAAACATCTAAAACAACTTATTTGACTTTTTTAGAAATGTGGTACCTGGAAACTTGATTTTTCAATAGATAAACCAAGTTTTTGGTTACCAGAAACCCACAGTTCTCATGTTACTATTGCAAGAGACAGCCCTCAATGTACACACATAGCAGAAAAAAAGGAAGAGAAAGCAAAGAAGAACATTGGATCATAAGCTATCAGTGTCCTTGAAAATCAGTTTCCAGAGACATTTTTTTCATTTTCAACTAGTCCTTCCTTCTGCCATACACGTTGCAGCCAACACTGCCTTTGGTTCAAAACCAAATCTTAGTTATTTGTTATCTTCAGGATACAGCTGGCAGCTACATAAGTTCTGTCTTTCTCCAAGGCAGTATATAATTAGGATTGAGGTTCAATATGCCAGAAAATGGATCCCCCAGAAAGATTTGCCCCACAAACTCATCAGTGTCTTTTTCAACTGAGCAGTGACTGAAGAGTGACTGTGACTTGTTTAAACTGGTATGTGGATTTGATTCATTGCGTGTTGCTATTTCAAGCTGCTGCTTAAGGTTTTAATGTCACACTCCACTATCTACATTCAATAATACATTATGCTTCCTCAATAACTATCACACAATATGCTCCAAAATGGTCATGGGTGTTCATCCACATTGAGGCAACATTGCATAAGCATATCTTTTCATAAAATTGCAGCAACTTCATGGTAACCAAAAAAAAAAGCAAAATAATCCAGTGACTTGATCTTCTGGGCAAGATCTTTGCCTAGCCCTGACCTCATACACTTGTACATTTTCCTACAGTGAGGCCCCTGACAGACATTAATGTAAAGATGTGATGGGATCTGATGCAGGATCCTATCAATCATGATCTCAGGCTCCCCCTGAACTAGCAAGTAACATGCTTGACTCCTAACTGCAGAAGCACACCATGCACCCCATGGCTGGGAGCCCCGTCAGCTGATCAGAGCTCCTAGCCAGGGGAGCGCACCACATGCTTCTGCACACCATGAGCCCTGATCAGCTGACTGGGGCTCCCAGTGCAGGAGTGCATGGTGCACTTCCCGACTGGGGGCCTCCCAGCCTCTGTAACACAGGGGAGTCTTCAAATGCTCCTGCATACTCCACAGGCTGGGCACATTCAATAAAAGACGTAAAAAGAACCAGCCACAAAGTTATTCACATTTTCTGTAATAACTTTGTGGCTTATTCTTCATTTTAGCAAGCCATTAATTGATTGAGTGAGTAGCCAAGTTGCTACTTAAGATGTGATTAACCAACTATTCATGCCTTAAGTGTAATGTTTGTCAGAGCCCTGAGTTCTGCATCTTATGTCAGTCCTGTGGCGGGGCATGGAGATGGACCAAATGACCTTTTCCAGGTCTCTTGGTCTCTTCCAGCCATATGTTCTAGGATTCTGCATACCCATAAGTGCAGGCTGGGGTCAGGTTTGCACAGGCTGATCCTGGCAAAGCAATGCCTAACCACCAAGACTGGATACAGGGATGAATTAACTAGGGATTCAATCAGGAAAAAAGGGAGACAAATAATAAATACACTTAGGGATGTTATTGGCAAAATTAGTCATTCCCAAGCAGCAGTCTGTGGAGCACTGGAGACAGATGTATGGCAAGCTGGCAGCTGACATGGTGTTGGCTCCCCTATTTATTTCTCAGCTGAAAAAAATAAGCTATCAATCCTTTCTAAATGTCGCCCATGTAACAAATTACTGTAGCCACTGTAGAAATGTGCTGGAATGGGGGAAGAAAGGGGTCCGCAGCAGCAAATGGAGAAGGGAGGGTCCCTGAGACACCTCTGGTTAGGACGTGCTCTGTTCATGAGATATATGGCATGTACAGGAGTTATATTTTTCACTCAATGAGGCCCCTGAAAGCACTCGTCAGCCCTAATGTAACAAATGTTCACAGCTGCAGAGTGCTTTTAAAATGACCCACCATGTGAAAATTTAACCCTCGTTAAATCAGCTATCAGACGAAGGAGCTCTAGGGCACAATGCCTTAGCAAACCTCTGTACACGTTCATTGCAGGGGTTAACTTTCAAGTGATGTTGCCCACATCCCACGCACCTTTGCATAGTCTGAGGCCTCTGCCTTGGTGCAGTAGCACTTGCATCCCGAGGGGAAGCAGAGGCACGAGGAACGTGTTCTTCTGCTCTGGTGGAAAGGAGCTGAGAGCAGCCTGGTGGCACCAGCAGGAATGGAAATTTGGGTGGGCTCCAGTACATGGGAATGGCCAGCAGTCTGCTGTGACAGGAAATCATTCTTGCTGCAGCAGATTGAAACCAAGTACACCCCAAATATCTGAAACAGATGATTTACCTGATCCCTCAGATCCCAGCTGCAGGATGCCTGATTCAACAAAAAATGCCTGTTAATGAATTTACCTAAACCTGGCATTCACACAGGCTGGGTACTAACTGGTGGGCCATCACTCACCAGGTCCATTCGGTGCTATCTCCCTGGTTTGCACCTGACTGCTCTTAACCTTCAGAAGACAGCCCCTTGGAAATCTGGTGCACAGACAGATCAGCCAGTAATCTCTCCTAGCAGTGAGTTCCCAGCTATGGCAGATCCTATCCTCCTAGCACAAGGAAGCTCCTGTCCTCAGTGCCTTTGGTATCGGCATAGCCCAGGGCAGGACCAAACCCCTGCAAGAGTCCTCACTCTTTATATGATCACATGTGTGTCCTACACCACATGTACTTCAGAGATCTTATTCCCCTCTGGTCTACCTCCCCTGTTGGCATCCAACAAAGAATTACTTGCTTTCTCCATGAAAATAATACTGATTCCTCCTTCCCCAGCTGGCGTGGCTTGTCTGTACCACAGCAGCAGCTAATCATGGTGGGCTACGCCCTGCCACAAGAGTCCACTGACATGTTCCAGAGCTGGAAGTTCGAGAATGAGGTTTCTCTGGCTTCTTCCCCAATACCCACTCTTGAGTCCTTAGTCTCCCGCAGTAGAAAGGAGGGGTCCACACTTTACACAGCAGGAATTGTAGCCCATAATGTAAAGATGAAAAAAGAACTCATAGGTTTTACACAGCCTGAACCAGGGCTACTCCCCCGTGAGAAGTCCCAACTGTTCTGTCCAATCTAGGAGTAATCATGGCAAGAGGAAAAGTTGCAAATAAATTGTGTTTTACAGAAGTCTCTGCACAAACTTCCAGAGCAGGGAAAACTACTGGAATATATTTACAATGTTAGTATTTATCTTACATATTTATTTAAGTGTTTATCTTTATTTGAGTATTTCACTCTTCTAATCACTGCTCTTTGACACAGTTGTTTTCACATCAGCCTTTCATTCCTTGCAATCTTAGAGAAAAAAAAAAGGAGAGGATCTTAGATAGCTACAAAGTGTGCAGTTTTAAAGCAATAAATGTGAAATATATGTAAACTTTGCTGGACTGAAATGGAATTTGTATACTTTCCATGAATACAGCATGTATATGATGAAGCTAATTATCTGGCCTGCCTTCCACCCCTGTAGAGCTATCCCACTAGGAAGTTTCTCTTGTCAGTCTAGTCCTTTAACCCTTAGATCTGTGGCTTTGTTAATAGAGAAATGAAATCCTCATTCTAATCCCACGTAATTATCCTACAAACAACTGCAAAACTATTGAGAGCAGGGAAAAAAGCCCTCACCACATTGCTCCAGTTAATGACATAAAATGAAATTCAATCAGACATAACAAATGAATGGGTTGAGATTAAGATGCTGCAAAAGCCCTAAGCTTGCAAGAAAGTTCCTTAAAGACCATTTTAAAGGCATCTAGCACAGGCTGCAAATTAATCTGCTTACCACTAAACCAGTCTCTCTCCTCCTGTCAGGCTGTGATCTGAGACACTGCTGCGGCTGCTGTCTGATATTCTGCTCGTCACACCGACACTGAAATAAAAGCACTTCTCCGCTGTGATGCCTGTAAACAGACACTCACCTTTAGGAAGAAGGGGAGGAGTTTCCAAGCCTTATTATCTGGTCAGAATTAACTCCAAACATGCTGCGTGCTCCTAGCAAGCCCTGTTTGATGATACCCCGTGGAACAGGCTACAGGCGCCCACACAGCAACCTCGCACAGTATCCAAGACCTGTAGACAGTCACTGTTATGGTACAGAGGGAGCAAAGCTAAGCAGTGTTATTGAGGCAAGGAGATGGGGAGCCTCTAGAAGAAAAGCCTGCTCCGTTTGTCTAGAGTGAAGAATAAATTTAGTTTGTTTAAGTCTGTTCATAATCAAGGTGTTTCACACCGAGATACAAACCAGACACCAAGGACTGTACGCCAGCTCAACAGCCATGATGTGCTCAGCTATAGTTTCCTGTGAGCATAAGGGCCAAATTTAGCCAAATTTAGTAAAATGGGCATATTACTTTCCCCTCGGTTTGATCTGACACTAGAAATTTGCCCCATCTTTTGTAGCAAGGATAGCTAGATACGTAACAGTTGGCTTTTGTTTGCGGCAACACCTGAGCCACTTCTAGAAGTTGGAGCGACTTAAGATGAAAAAGATCATTGGCCCTTTGTTGACAGCTTTATCCACAACGTCAAAGCCTGAGAAGACCAAAGAAGCCTCTATAATTCCCTTAAATTTTCACGCCTATTTTTTTGCTAAGGCAAGAGATTCAGTTTCAAGTGGAAGAGGGCATATTATTTTCTTGCAATACTAAGAAATCTTTGCAGACCCCCACATAATGCTGGTGATAAGCCCTCCCTGCACAACAACCATCAGCAGGAGGAATTCCATTATGAGTAACAGCAGTACCCATTAATGACTTCCATGATGCTCTGAGACATAATCCAAGCTCTCATAATAAGTGCTGCTTCCTTAGCGGATGGGACTCTACCAACTGAGGAGCAAGAGGAAGCAATGATCTTTGCAGAAATTTTTCCCCAAGGTTCTTATGAACATAGGAAGTCAGCACACTTTTGAGGTGAGTCCCCAAAATTGTCTCTTTTTTGCCCTCTTCCAACCTTTATCTGTTTGCCCCACTGCACTATACAGGGCTTCTGCTCATTTCATATCTGTGTCAGGAAAAGCATCTTTATTTTGTTTGGGCCCTTCCCTCCCAGTACATCTCCACCTTGTAAAACAAAATCCTACACTTGTTCTCTCACACTTAATTCATCACCCTGAGTCACCTTGGGACTATCAAGAAGGGACACCCCGACTCTTGTCACAAACCATGACTTCATCGAAGCAGACACCACCCTTATCAGAGGAGACAGAACCTGAGAACATCAGCACTAAAAATACAGGCCTCTCCTTCATGAACTAGAAAACAATTAAGAATAAGTGCTATTATAGTTAGGGAGTCTAGCCACTAAATACAGACATGTTCACATCCATTAACAGAGTGCATAAAATTGCATTAAATTGCATTAAAACAGCATTAAAAAAGAGGTATGGGGACCATTTACCCAGGCTAGGGACAAACATTAAAAAAGCCTGAACCTGAATTGATTCAATCTTTGCAAGTTAGTCTAACCTGGCTAGGCTGAACCAATTTATAACTGCACAGATATCCCAGAAATGCAGGCATATGCCTGCAGTGGCTCAGGCTAGAAGCCAGGGGCTGCTACAGCTGCCCTCCCTTCCTTTCCATAGTGTTAAGCTGTGGGGGTGTGGCCAGTCCCAGCAGGATGCTCTGATTAGGAAGGGGTTTCCCCCACCCCACTGCCTCCCAACCCAGTGGGGAATGGATAACATAGTGTTTATCACCCCTAACTCAGTGTTTATCAGCCCATCAAGAAAACAAAAGCCTCCCTCATTAGTTCAAGGTCTCCTTAAAATGGCTTTTTCTAAGGAGGAACATTACCTCCTAACTCCAAAAAGCCCTAAGCAGACATTGTCATGTCTGCTTTTGTCCTGTCTGCCTTACACAGACACCTCTCAGCATTACCTAGCAGACCACATGCTGGCTACGTCCGTGCTCTGGGAGAGGG